TGAATTTTTCCACTCGACCATTCTGAAATACGTCCAAACTCATACCTGCGCAGGAAAGCTCGCCCCTCCGCGACGTCTAGTCAGCAATTTCTACTCCAACACCACTCCCATCGCTGCAGAACAAAGTGTATTGTTGACTCTGACAAGGAAAAGCAGCGGTGATCACTTGTCATTCCAAACGACAAGCTTCTCCTTGCGCCACCAACATTTTTCAGTGCAACAGTTGATGCAAAAGTGACTGAATTTTTGCGTGTAGTTTTTGGATTTTACTGCAAGAGGAATGAAGAAATCACGTGGATCGTGACGTAGAATAATGCTTTCTGGTGCACGACACAATGCACACGATCACGATCGTTCCTGAGGCGCTATTCGAAACGGACCATGAGGGCGGAGGTAAGATGCATCATATGTCTTGCATGCTCTGCTCAGAACATGCAGAAACTAACTTATAGCGCTAGCATTATTGCATTGGCAAGAATTCTTTGAGATATTTCCTCGTGCAGTACGAACAGGGATGCATTTTTTCACACTAACCTCGCTCATCCCGAACATGGTTCAACAGGAACTACGGCTAGTTTACATGCTGATGATCCACTTCAGGTTTTTACCGTACCGTTTCTATGGTTGTAGCCAATGAGCGACGTTCCCGCGGTGGCCTTGATGAGCCGATAAAGCCCGTGGTCAATGGATACGGAAAAATACGGTAGCAATAAAGCCCGTCGTCAATGGCACCCCGTACTCTGTCAGTCTAGCTCTGCAGGGGTCTGTGGCAGTTTTTCGTTGTCAGCTCAGTTCGCATCTCACATTCGACTGTGAACATGCTGTGGTACCTGGAAACAGCCTGTCCAAAAACGGCAACATGAAAAGTGTCTACACATCGTGGTCAGTTTTCAACTCAAGTTCTTGTTGTCGTGAGTGGAGAGGAAATTTTACGATAGTTGTGAATAAGCGAAAGAGCATGCACCTATCTATCTGCTTAGAAGCAAGCTGAAATAAGTGGCACACATCGCGATCAGTTTTCCACTTTCTGTTCTACATGTACTAAAAAAAGGAGTTGACGAACTTTTCTGATAATTTTGGGTCATCCCATCCATGAGAAGCGGACGGAGCTGAAACTCACAAGCTGAAGGAGCTGAAACTCACAAGCTGAAGGAGCTGAAACTCACAAGCTGAATCCACCACGTCCCCGACCACCACCCCTATACGTGTCTTGCTTTTATACCAGAAAGGCGAAAGACGAAACCTGAAACACCATCATAGAGGTCTGGCAGGACTTTTCGCCTTCATCAAGGCCTCGTGCGTACGGCCGCGGGCGCAGGCCTCAGCGCTACGCGCCTTGGCCTGCGCCCTTGGCCGTACGCACTCGGCCTTGATTCAGCCGTAAAGTCCTGCCAGACCTCTATGATTGTCTACGTAGATCTGCAACAGCAAGGAATGAGCGTGGTCCATGCCATCAAGGTCGCTTGGACTAAGTATTAGTTGGAGTTGACCAGCGCGCGGCGCGGCCTACACTGGTTACATGGGGTATGTGGCGCGCCCACATGGCAGATTTCTTACGTCATGAACAACGTGATTTGACCCTATTCGCCCTAGTCTCTGTGCTGCATGGTGAGGGAAAGTCCCGGCTGGAAGGCCTACAACACGACATGCGTGCTCTTGAGCTGGACATCAAGATGCACTTGATCCGATCCAGATCAACGGATGATCCATGTAAGTGCAGGTGCGCTTGATCAAGGTGACTCGGAACAACTGCTGAACCGTGATCTACGAGACCTGGCATTCTTGTGTCACGAGGCACGTGATTTCATCATTCCTCTTGCAGTAAAATCCAAAAACTACACGCAAAAATTCAGTCATTTTTGCATCAACTGTTGCACTGAAAAATGTTGGTGGCGCAAGTAGAAGCTTGTCGTTTGGAGTGACAAGTGATCACCGCTGCTTTTCCTTGTCAGAGTCAACAATACACTTTGTTCTGCAGCGTTAGGAGTGGTGTTGGAGTAGAAATTGCTGACTAGACGTCGCGGAGGGGCGAGCTTTCCTGTGCAGGTATGAGTTTGGACGTATTTCAGAATGGTCGAGTGGAAAAATTCAAAATTGTTTATTTCAAGAAAACCGAAAAAGGATGATGGGGGACATGTCCTCAGTGCTAGAAGAGGTGTTCTACTATCTGCCGGTGTATAGTGTTTGCTAATTGAGGACGTAGCTCGCTGTTTTATCAGCGCTTGTAATTTGGCTAATTTCAAGACGATCATTTGTGGCGTCAAGGGATGATTGCCCTCGTCTTCTGGGATGCTGGCATGGCTAAGTGGTGCTGCCCCAAGAACTCTTCTTAGGTGAGGTAATGTTGGCATGATGGAGTTTTGTTCGTAGCTTGTTCTTGTACGCTGTGCCGTAGCTCGTTTGTAGACCCATAAATCGTGCCAATATTGGTCCAATATTGAGGGGTATGCCGATTTCATGGTTCCCTTCAAAAGATTTTGTGCGGGCTTTGGAATGTCGATCTACACCCCAAAGCAAACCTACCTGCAAAATTTGAGCGAAATCTGAGAGATCGACTTGCACATATGTTCTGGTTTTCTCAGACATCCTCTCTTAAGACAGAACAGATTTGCCAGTGGCTGCTCTCTATTGCAGCTTTGATGCAGGGCTATGGCTGAATAGTGTATAATCATATACCATGAAGTTGATTGTTCCAACTAGGAACACACGCTTCTTGCCGAACTTGACACTTGACTGACTCACGACTGCCATCCGGAGCACACGAGGAGCACGTCGCACCTTCCACTCGGCAAACCTGCAAGAAAGCACCAATGAGGGGTGAATTCCCTGAAACACCGTGTATTGAGCAGGGAGTGGTGCTTTCTTGCAGGTTTGCCGAGTGGAAGGTGCGACGTGCTCCTCGTGTGCTCCGGATGGCAGTCGTGAGTCAGTCAAGTGTCAAGTTCGGCAAGAAGCGTGTGTTCCTAGTTGGAACAATCAACTTCATGACTATTACCGCCGAAGTCGCAACTTCTAAGTTCGTATTGTTGATCCTCACGCGGACGTGCGACTAGTTGTTGGAGGTGACAGCGTTGCGAATAGCTATACTGGCTCTCAACGTCTGTTTATCACAACTCCATGAGCGACTCTGACTCACGCTGCTACCTGGAGCTTCACGAGGTGTTTGTCGCGCTGGAAACAAAGCGTCTCTGTAAGTTTGTATCCCTGGTGATGGTTTGGCCTGGAGAGCAGTATAAGTGGTGCTTTTCAGGCACAATCTTCCTCAGCCTACTCAAGCTCAACTGATGAGGGGTGAATTCCCCGGAACACCGTGTATTGAGCAGGGAGTGGTGCTTTCTTGCAGGTGTGCCGAGTGGAAGGTGCGACGTGCTCCTCGTGTGCTCCGGATGGCAGTCGTGAGTCAGTCAAGTGTCAAGTTCGGCAAGAAGCGTGTGTTCCTAGTTGGAACAATCAACTTCATGACTATTACCGCCGAAGTCGCAACTTCTAAGTTCGAATCATATACCATTCCGTATTATCCAGGGAGTGACAGTGTAAACTATGTTAGGGATCATTGGGATGAGGTTTATCATGTGAACTGGTAGTCCTGCCTGCAGACAAGCTGTCACTGCATTGGTTCTGTGAATAATCTATTCATCTGAAACAGCAGATATTAGGCTGATCTTGGATCCATATCCCTTCCATTGGCGGTGAACGTGAACAAATGTGGCCAGATTATTTTACTGCCACTCTACTGCCTTTACTTTATAGTCTTCTTCTTCTTGTGGTGCTGCATAGACAACTGGGTGGCAACATTGACAAGAATACTCTTCTTTGCTGATAGCACCTGACTCAGTCACTGCTGCCTTGGAAGTACAGGTGTCTACGTCTAACTGTATGTGTTTGTCATCAGGAAACTCAGACATGCGCTGCTGCACAGTGCTCATAATGACTTGGTGCTGAATCCATCAGAAATTCTAGTTCTTTTCGAGCCAGTTCGGCTGGATTCCGCATTTACTTTTTTTTCCGTACTGCACACTGTGGTGAGGGGGGGGGGGCTAGTTTTTTCATTGACCGAAATTACCACACCCACGCACCCACACATACCCCCCCCCCCCCCACACACACACGCATGCAGACACACACACACACACACACACACACACACACACACACGCTCACATACACGGGCACACACACACACACGCACATACACACACACACACACACACCTTTGACCTTTGACCTTTGACGCCCATCGCCGGAGGCGATGATAGCAATGCTACGGCAGAAGCCATAGCAACTTGTGCTGGGATTACACCATTCAACAGCTTGCAAGGCTGAAGAATTGACCGTCACTATTCAGCCTGGTCTACACACACACACACACACACACACACACAAACACACACTATGGTCGGGCACGTTCAGAAGATTGTCAGTTCGGAAGGGGAGCAGTATTTTCATGTTGCCGTAGATCTTTGCAGGCACCTTCTCTAGCTCTCTTACCGATATGCTGTGCACAGAAGGTCCCAGTCCCAACAGCTGATTTGGTACTTCTCCGAGTAGTGCTCCACGACTTGTATACACGACTGAACTGAGCGGCTGGACATCCAGTACACACCGACATGACAGGAAAGGAGAAAACAGAATCGTAGTACTGAATCTACATGACATTTTGTCGCTGCCGCTGAAGAGTCGTTACCTTTTTCGTTGGGTGCATATCTGTGCAGACGAGCCATCCCACCCGAAGCCGAGAAGGATGGCAGCGATGCACAGGATCAAGGAGCTTGATCGGTTTGCATCTTGATCTACTGACATCGTCACCGGGATCTCCTTCCCACGCGAGTCGAATCGCTTACAGACGAACCTTGGCCTCTTTCTGGAACTGGAAATCAAAAAATCCGCTATTTATTGTCTTGAACGACGTGCTCTTGTAACGAGCAATGCAGGAAACGGAATACCAGCTGAACGAACTACATGCAGCAGTTTTGAATGGAAGTCTGCGGACCAGTACAGAAACAATTAAAAATGGTCGCGCATCCACCCTGCCAGAGCAAGCTGCTGGACTGCGATATTTGTTGCTGTTCAGACGCTTGGGTAGTAGGTCGTGCCAAGTGGGCAATGCATTGCGGTATTTCGTGGATGTCAGCACTGACAGCTCAGCTGCAACATCTACATTTCCTGTATCATACATGTAGGTGGAGAAACATGTTTTCGAAATCGACAGCACGTCACAAGGCGACAACGTTTTGGGTTGTAGTCAGGAGCATGCACTGCACTGGTGTGCGTCATCGCCTTGGTGTGTAATTCGATTTCGATTTCGGAAGCATAGTGCCATTTTAGTGGACAGTAAATCTACGTCGATAGATTCGCAGCACCCATGCATGCCTGAAAGTGCTGTCGACTGTCGCGGACATGGAAATCCAGTCGATTGACCGGGGCCGGCGCCCTCAGCGCGTACAGAACGTAAGACAGTAGTCGTTGCATGTAGTGCACAATCATGTTGAGCAGCAGCGCATAATAATACGTGTACGGCTGCATGACCAGCGCCCTCCGGCCGCTAGAGGTGCGACCGGATTTCCATGTCCATGACACTCTGTCCCCGGGGAAAATTGCGGAAAAAAATCGCAAAAAACGCGGGGAAAAACGCGGCATAATATGGCATAATTTGCGGTGAATTTGCGGTAAATATGCGGTAAATATGCGGTGAATAATATTGATGTGCGGCAATTTTCAGTGAATTTGTAGTGAAATCAATCAGTTACAAGTCTCTGGTGTAAGCACTCGTCATATTTGAGTAAAAAGCCGCCACGATGAGACGTTGCTGACCGAACAGTGCACTGTGTGTACGTGTAGAGTAACAAAAAAGTTCAAAAAACGCGGGAAAATCGCGGAAAACGCGGTCTTTTAAAAAATCGCAAAAAAACGCGGAAAAAAACGCGGCCGCGGAATTGCAATTTTCCCCGGGGACAGGACACTGCACTGTAGATCTCTCGCTCATGCTATGCCGCATGCGGGTGGACAGCTGTACAGGGAAACGATCCGGAACAGATGTCTAGATATGCAGACCTTTTACGAATTACGTCACTGGGCACACGTAACAGAAAAAACTTACTTTAATATCACTCCCTTAGTATTGACCCTCATAGATTTTGCTATACCTATTAAAGCAGTCAAATATTCCTGCATATTTCACTCCTTGGGCCTATATTGACTGCTTATATTTGACTCATTTTAGGGATTGAACACAGGCTTTGGCTAGTCGTGATAAATCTAATATTGACTTCGTACTTGGTCAGTATAGGTGGTAAAAGCCGAGTAAAAGACCTCGGCTTCACCTCGATCTTTTACTCGGCTTTATTTCCTATATTGACGTCGTACTCAGTCAATATTAGATACGGAGTGGGTTTACTCCCACACTGGAGCTCGCGCTATTCCGCCGACTTGACTTAACACCTGACTGACTCACGACTGCCATCCAGAGAACACGAGAAGTCCATCGAACCTTCGACTCGGTAAACCTGCAAGAAAGCACCACTCCCTGCTCAATACACAGTGTTTCGGGGAATTCACCCCATATCAGTTGAGCTTGAGTAGGCTGAGGAAGATTGTGCCGAAATAGCACCACTTATAAAGTGCTCTCCAGGCACAAACATCACCAGGGATACAAACTTACAGAGACACTCCGTTTCCAGCGCGACAAACACCTTGTGAAGACGATTATTAGAAGCGTGAATCAGTGTCGCTCCTGGAAGGTGAGAACAGACGTAGAGGATCCTCGGTCATTCACAATGCTGTCACCTCCAAACCAGCAAGTCGCACGCCCGCGCTGGGCACAACAGTACAATTATTTAATAGAGGTTGCGACTTCAGCGATGATTTTGTTTAGGAATGGGTTTGCTCCCACACTGGAGCTAGTAGTAGTAGTAGTATTCTTTTATTTTCCATCGGAAGCCTCAACAGTGATATACACAACTCTTAAGAGGGCCGATAACAGAGTAGAGGGGTGAGAAAAATAATAATAAGAGATGTTTAAACTAAACTAAACTGATACTTGGAACAATAACGCTCCCGCTATTCCGCCACAAACATCACCATGCAGGGATACGAACTTTCAGAGACACTGACCGTGGTTGGTCCCCTGGGGGGGGGGGGGGGGAGAGAAAGACCCAAGTGCCAGCAGTATGTGTTGCACGTGTTGTGAGCTGCCTTTGGAGTGAAAACTATTACTTGTCAGCGCCTTCTAGATTCAGCCTGGTCCCATAGCTCAGTGGTTAGAGCATTGCTCATGACAAGCAAGGTCCCGGGTTCGAGTCCTAGCGGGTCTGGCGATTTTTCTCTTTTCAGGCAGTTCACTTCCTCAACTGATCCTTTGAATTTGAAGTTCTCCCAATCCTTTCAAAATCATGATAATAATAATAATTTGGAAAGGATGGGAGAACTTCAAATTCAAAGGATCAGTCGGGGAAGTGAACTGCCTGAAAAGAGAAAAAAACGCCAGACCCACCAGGACTCGAACCCGGGACCCTGCTTGTCATGAGCAATGCTCTAACCACTGAGCTATGGGACCAGGCTGAACCTAGAAAGCGCTGACAAGTTTTTCACTCCAAAGGCAGCTGACAACACGTGCCACACATACTGATGGCACTTGGGTCTTTTTCCCTCCCCCAGGGGACCAACCACGGTCAGTTTCTGGAAACTACCAGAGGTGAAAGAAAGTGATTAAATTTGGAAAGGATGGGAGAACTTCAAATTCAAAGGATCAGTCCCCTGGGGGATCAGTCCCCTGGGGGAGGGATGAGTCCCCTGGGGGAGGGGGAGGGAAAAAGACCCAAGTGCCATCAGTATGTGTGGCACGTGTTGTGAGCTGCCTTTGGAGTGAAAAACTTGTCAGCGCTTTCTAGGTTCAGCCTGGTCCCATAGCTCAGTGGTTAGAGCATTGCTCATGACAAGCAGGGTCCCAGGTTCGAGTCCTGGTGGGTCTGGCGCTTTTTTCTCTTTTCAGGCAGTTCACTTCCCCGACTGATCCTTTGAATTTGAAGTTCTCCCATCCTTTCCAAATTTAATCACTTTCTTTCACCTCTGGTAGTTTCCAGAAACTGACCGTGGTTGGTCCCCTGGGGGAGGGAAAAAGACCCAAGTGCCATCAGTATGTGTGGCACGTGTTGTGAGCTGCCTTTGGAGTGAAAAACTTGTCAGCGCTTTCTAGGTTCAGCCTGGTCCCATAGCTCAGTGGTTAGAGCATTGCTCATGACAAGCAGGGTCCCGGGTTCGAGTCCTGGTGGGTCTGGCGTTTTTTTCTCTTTTCAGGCAGTTCACTTCCCCGACTGATCCTTTGAATAATAATAATAATAATAATAATAATAATAATGAAATCTAGTAATAAACAACGACATTATGCGATAAACAACATGTACCGCTCTATCTATTATCAGACAGTGCTAGAGCCCTACGGCCTAGACAAGGCCGACCAACTAAGCCCTTGAAGGAGACTCACAAACGACTCGCTGCCAACTTTTACCTGAGGAGACTACACGATTAACAGACAGCCCAGATGCTAACCAATCCGAGACACATCGACCAATAACACGCAGCATGACTCGATCAACATGAATGAATTCCACCGATGGACATGGACCTGAAGCAGCAACGGACGTGACAACAATATTGACGAAGGATGAGGTTCCGCAGACCACGGGCGATGAAGGTACTGGTCTTGATTGAGAGCAGGACGAGGATGTTGAGGTCAACAGTGGACAGATGCAAGGTGAGGGTGATGATACTGGAAAGAGATCCGCAATAAAGAAACACCTGTTGTCCAACAGTCCGTGCCGTTCAGTTTATGATGACTCTTGTTTCACAGCTTTGTGCCGTGCTCGTAGGTTTAGTGAACTTAAAGTATTGGAAGCTGTTTTCATTCGCAGTCATAACCCCAACCTATGCATCCAGAAAGAAAATGCCACTAAACTTAGACTATTCTCGTAGCATTCACACGCACATACACCCACCCACATACCCATGCGCGTACTCCTTACACTTCACCCTCTCTGAGTCTCACGTTGTTATTATTTCTCACTTGCCCTGGTTGCCCATCCCTGTTATTAGTTCACACTTCTCTTGTCAATAATGCAATGAATATAACTAAATGTGCACTCATGTTACAACCATGGGGACGAATAATGTATTCCAGAACGTCTTCTTGTCACAATTGTCCTACCAACCCTACAATTGAGTCACCTAATTTACTACTTTGAATGCCGACAATGTGGTAGTCAGTATGTTAGTAGGACCCTTCAACATCTGTCGGAACGTATCAAACAACACGTGCCGTGCCGCTCTCACTATTGCCACAGGCGGCCAGGTCCTCCCGACCAAAGCGTGGCCGACTACGTAAGCACCCGACGCCACTGTCCGTTCCGGCAGAGGCTTCTACTCCACAAACGGCGTCTCCGAAAAACCAACACAGCACGCAGAAATCGAGAACAAACATTAATGTAAACGAAGACGAACACTGTGTCACATGCCCATTACCAGCGAGTACTGGTACGCCGGACGCAGACAAATGCAACTCGCCAAAGCTGAGAAGGAGCAAACGACTGGCGGCAGCTCGGCTGGCAGAGGTGACTGGGAAGATGCGTCGAACCTCTCCGGATAAGGATGCCAGTGGAAGGGTTGACGACTGTCGGATGCTTGGCAATGGCAAGGGAAGACCGGTCAGAAAGAGAACGCGACAGCAGCGGGAGGAGGAGTATGGAAGCGATTTGTGCAGCGACGATGATGAACCCGGTGGTCAGTTGCTGGGAGAGCCGACGACAGGTGAAGGTGGCAGCGATGATGAAGAGGACGATGACGATGATGGTGCTGATGGCAGATGGTGTGAAAGACGGCGGTGGTCAGAGACCCAGTGGAGGTAGGTAGGTACATTTTTATTTTGAATTCGCAGAACCAAACGGGCGGTGTCGCCCAATTACATGGAAGCGAATGGAAACAATAAAATATTGTAGGAAATAGCCTAACA